TATTTCAAATCCTGTGTTAAAAATAATTTTAAAAATAGTTTTGGTATCACAGAACAGTTAACAGTCAAATGACAATAGCAAAGATTTTCCCCTCCCTTGGGATAACACTACATGAGCTGAAGTAAAAATAATTTTATCCAAAGTACAATTTGTTGAAGGTATGTGATGATTCACTGAAGATTTTAAACAGGATTGTAAAGGTGGCACTTCAGAGAGGGCACTAGAGGGATATCAGTGCAGATTTAGGGCTCCAGCCAGCCCTGGGAACTGCTGGGGTTCAAGAGGCAAATAAGTTTCAGAGTTGAATCTAGAGAAGTTAGATACCAAATAAATCCTTGTCCACACAGAACCTGTCTGTTTGGCTTGTCATGGAAAACAATTACCTAGCACAAAGCACTGGAATTACCCTTCAAAGACAGTGACCTCCTGTATTGCCCTGCACAGGCTGCCACAATTCAAACCTTAAATACAAAAGTTTTGTTTAAAAAAAAACCCACCAGACCCCCATATTTCTCCACTGAATTCCTTCAGCTTGGATTCAATAACAGAAAGCTGAGTTGAGAGCCCATACTAGGTTCATTATGTAGCCATGAGTGATTAATTTCTGAGTACTCATCTTAATTTCCTCATTATCTAAAGTGAGGATAATCATAGAATCATTGAGGTTGAAAAAAATCTCTAAGACCACTGAGTCCAACTGTTAGCCCAGCACCTCTGTGTTCAACACTTAAGCCAAGTCCCCAAGGCCACTTCCACAGGACTTCTGAGGGCTTCCAGGGTGGTGAACCCACCACTGCCTTGGGCAGCCTGTGCCAGGGCTTGGTCACCCTTGCAGTGAAGAAACTTTTCCTAATATGTAATCAGAATCTTTGCTGGCACAACGTGAAACTGTTTCCTCTTGTCTCATCACTTGTCACCTGGGAGAAAACACCAACCCTGACCTGGCTACAACCTGTCAGGGAGTTGTAGAGTGATGAGGTTTCCCCCTGAGCCTCCTTTCTCCAGGCTGAGCCTCCCTAACTGCTCCTCATCAAACTTGTGCTCTAAACCACACTGAAAGCACTAGTTTGACACAGTGAACTGTGAGCATTTTAGTTCTCTTGGAGACTAAAGGGCAACATCCTTAGAAGCCTTTAGCCAGCTAATTCCTACTGGAATACACGACCCCTGAGGACACTGGAGTCTGAGTGCCCTGGAAAAACTGGACTGCACTGCTAAACACAGCTGGCAGAGGCATCCACACTGCTACAGCTTCTCACCACACTTGTTTAGAAGCTGCAGGGCTGCCTTGGGGGATCACAAGAGGACTTCAGGGCAGCTTTGAGCCCAGAGCACAGCACACAGGAGCCAAAACGCAGGTCTGAACCAGCCCAAAAATCCAAGCATCCATCACAGCAACTGCACTCATGAGAGTTTCTTTGCTACGCAACAACAGGTCTTTCTCCAGGCTGAGCCTCCCTAACTGCTCCTCATCAAACTTGTGCTCTAAACCACACTGAAAGCACTAGTTTGACACAGTGAACTGTGAGCATTTTAGTTCTCTTGGAGACTAAAGGGCAACATCCTTAGAAGCCTTTAGCCAGCTAATTCCTACTGGAATACACGACCCCTGAGGACACTGGAGTCTGAGTGCCCTGGAAAAACTGGACTGCACTGCTAAACACAGCTGGCAGAGGCATCCACACTGCTACAGCTTCTCACCACACTTGTTTAGAAGCTGCAGGGCTGCCTTGGGGGATCACAAGAGGACTTCAGGGCAGCTTTGAGCCCAGAGCACAGCACACAGGAGCCAAAACGCAGGTCTGAACCAGCCCAAAAATCCAAGCATCCACCACAGCAACTGCACTCATGACAGAGTTTCTTTGCTACGCAACAACAGGCAGATCACACAGAGATAATGTGGAAAGAGGAGTGGGTATTTAAATGACCTTTGCTTGCACTGGAACAAAATCTGTCCAGATGACGAAGCACCAGGTGTCTTGGTTTCGCCACAGCTAACCCTTAAACCTTTAACCACGTCTACGTTACTCTGAACAACACAGCAGCAGCAACAGGCACAATTTTTAAGAATACCAATCAAATATGCTTGTCAATGCATAAACACCCAGTTACACAATGTCATGACTGAAACTGTCCCTTGCATGGCTAAAAATCAAAGGTCAAGAATAAGCAAACATGGCAGAACACACACGTCAGCAGATTTATTTATTGCTTGAGCAAAATACCAATGGAGAAAAGCCTCAGTGGGGCTTAGGGAAACGATCGACTCAAATAACCTGCAAATCAGGGCAAACAGCGTGATGTAAGAGAAGTGCTCAGATTACTGAGGTGAGAATAACTTCAGTGTTCAGTTGTATCAACCTGTTCCATCTATTACACTTAGGCTTATAAAAAACATCAACCAAAACAATCTTCATGCATTACAGAAAAAAACTTTAAGGGCTGAGATTCAAACGATTAATCTGAGAACAGGATTACTCTACAAACACAGCGGAAGTGGCATTAATACTGCTTCAATTTCCATCACCATAAGAAAAGTGGTGCTGGAAACAGAGCTACCCAAATCCTCCCAGAACAACCTCCATATCAGCTGGCAGCAGTTAAAGGAAAACACTTTCAAAATGGGAAAAAAATGGACAGCTAATTGTATAGGCACACAGGTAATATTTGAATAGTGATATTAAATCTACTCTTATCACACAGAAAAAGTAACTTTATAATTCAGAGCTGTGTCAAATCAAAGCATTACAAAACCAGAGTGACTCTGCTCTGGTTTCAAGAGTTGCTACGCTGAGAGCAAATTCAGGGAAGAGCTGAGGCTGTTGAATATATACGGGCTCAAACTCTCAGGCTCCGTTAAAAACACCACAAAAGCAGAACAATGAAGACTCAGCAATCACTGTTCACAAGTCATGATGGAGAAGAAGGTGCTATTCTAATGTTATTTCAATGGTTGATTTGAAAATCATCCCCTGGAAGCAGACAGAAGCTTTGAACAAAAAGCTGTGCTGCACCAAGACAGTCTTTTGATACCAACTACTTTTACAGGCATCACCAACTCACTGTGTCTCCACTGCGAAGATACCAAAGTTAACTTTCTAGTATCACTTCAGTGACACATGTCTACCACTGAAAAACACCCCCTTCAACCATGGTCAAGGTTATTTCATCAGCAAAGCACCACCCAGTAACTCCTGTGGAGCCAGGTCCATCACTCCATAGACCAAGGACGTGGGTTCACTTACTGAGACTGTGGAGAATGAGGAATTCCCCAGTGGCTCTGGTAACACCGAGCCAGCCTCCTGAAGAGAAAGCTGCTGACAGCATGGACTAGCAAGCAAACTCACTCACACCTCTTATCTTCGGAAAACTAGGAAATTTTTTCCTCCTACACTCAACTTGCTTTTTTTCTAGCTAAAAATTCATCATTTCACTTCCAAACCTTAGGACAGTGCTCACTTCACTCGTGGAGTTAAGGTAAGAGACAATATCAGGGTTTTAAAGAGCATTTAAAATGCCTTTATGGAACAAGTAGGAAACAGAAACCAGTGACACCCAAGTGAACAGCTCCTGTGTGAACTGGGAACACACTGTGCCACACCTGTGGGGGGACTGTCAGCAAGAGCTCTCAGTCCAGCCTGAGAGCACAAACATCAGTTTCAGCCACAGTTCAGTCTGAAACCACAACCTGCAAGCAATGGCTTAAAGCCTACTGCTAAGGGTGTATTTTTAGTTTTTCAAGTAGGATGGAAACATAATAACTTGAAAGTTATAACTTCACACATGATCACCATAACATTATAAAATATTACCACAGGTAACAAAAGTAAAAATCCCTAGGAAACTCAGTGGATAAACTGAGACTCTACAACACAGTTTATTCTTTGATTTGAAACTGCATTTGGATGTTGTATTTTTAAGAGCTAAGGAGAGGCACAGTTAGAAAATTAGGTAAAAGCATAGACTTTCTTAAAGTATTTTAGTAATTCTTTGACAGCAACTCAATTTTGAGACAGCAGAGTTTACCTGTGAAGACAGCACTAGAACACACGAGTTCCTAAGGGCACCTGATGCAGAGGTTCCGGCAGCCCTGGCTCACAAAGCCCAGCTGTCAGAGCACATCCTCGCTGCAGGGCTGCTGCACCATGCACTGACTTACGAACACAACCCTTCAAAGCAGTAACTTCCGAAGACAAAACAATACTCCACACAAGTACTGCCAGGTCGCTACAACGTGGCAGACGGCTGCCCAGGGAGGCTGCAGGGCACCCGCGGGTTATGGGGTTACTCAGCGCACCTCAGCATCGCAGACACACGGAGGCAGCGCTGCTCGGGACCTGCGAGCACCGGGACAGCCACACGGACCGGCCGGTGCCGCCAGCGGCCCGAGCAGCCCCAGTGCTGTGCCGGGGGGAAGAAGAGGGAGGGGACAGAAGGGACAGGAGGGAAGGAGGGGAGCGGCCGCCCCTCGCCCCTCGCGGCGCGCTGCCCGCGGCCCCGCGCAGGCCGCAGCTCGGCGGGGCGCGCAGGGACCCCCGGCCAGGCCCCGCCGCGGCCCGGAGGCCGCTCCCAGCAGGACACGGGGATGGCCCAGCGTCCTGCGAGGCCGGCCGGGGAGCACAGACCCCTCACCGCCCGCCCAGCTCACCCACCGCCGAGCCTGAGGTGCTCCGGGACTCGGGCAGCACCGACACCGACCGACACCGACACTCACCCGCGGCTGCGCCCGCTCCGCCCCCCGCGGCTCCTTCCGGCACCGGCACCCGCGGCGCACACGCTCGGGTGGGCTCGTCTGTGTTCGGATGGACTCGGCTCCGTTCGGGTTCGCGGGCGTGGTCTCGACTGGGCCGCCTTCGGCTGAGTTCGGCTGGGCTCGCCCCGGTTCGGTGTGACTCGGCTGTGTTCGCCGGGGTTCGGTTCGGCTTGGTTCGGCTTCGCTCGGCTCCGCCCCTCCGCGTGCCCGCCCAGCCCAGCCCCTGGCCCTGGCCCCGCCCCCTTAAGCCGCAGCGCCGCTCCCGGAAGTGCCACGTGTCCGCAGTGCGGCTGCGCGGGCCGCCCGGCAGTTCCGGTGGGTCCGTCCCCCCCGCCCGGGCCGGCGCCGCCACACGGGCGGCACCGAGCGCAGCCGGCCGAGCCATGGCCCAGCCCGCCGGGGCCCCCGCCGGCCAGCAGCCCTACAGCAACGGTGAGTGCGGGGCACGCTCGCGGGGCTCGGCGCGGGGTAGGGCCTGGCGGGGACGGCTCCCGCCCCGGGGCGCTTCCCCCGGGCCCAGGCCGCCCTTCGCCCCGGGGCGGCGGGGGCCGGGGCCGGTGCCCGCGGGCAGAGCGCGGGGAGGGGGTTCTGGGGGCGGCCCGTTCGCTGCCCGGGTCGCTGGGTCACAGCCGGCTGAGCTCGGTAATGCCCTCCCTGCTGCCCGAACACCCGCGGGCCGGGGCGAAGCGCAGCTGAACTGGGGGGAGAGGAGCGGCTCCTGCTGGGACCGGGCAGCGGCGGCGGCGAGGTGCTGTCGGACCGGGCCCGGCCCCGATTGTCACTGAGGAAAGCACAGAGCGGCTCGTTAGGCAAAACAAATCTTCATTCTGATTTATTTCGATGGCCGAAGTATCGCAGAGTGTATTTGTCGGTATGAATGAGACTCTTTCAGAGAGCCCGTGTCTGCTGCCGCGGTAACACGCACGGCCCGGACCGTCCCTCAGCCCGGCTGGGTCCCGGCCGGTGACACGGGTGACACAGCCGAGGTTTGACCCTTTGGAACGGGGCTGTACATGTGGCACTGTGGTTAGCGCTGAGCTCAGCCTGCGGCGCTGCGGGGCTTTCTTATCTTGTCATTCTCCTGAAGCCGACATTATCTGGTTCTGTGTGCTGCGAACTGGGAAAGTCTTGATTACTTTCTTCCCCTCAGAATGTATTTCTTTACTGCGAGATGTTGAAGGTGAAACTGAGCTTACTAGCCAGTGTTTTAATACAGGAATAAAAAATTCAGGGCCAGCCTTGTCTCTGTGTCTGTTTTTCTTGCATGTGTGCAAATCTGTGCTGATGGAAGTGTCTCCTGATTTCACATACACATCCTCTGCACTTGCTTCCTTAATTATACACTTGTGTGTTTCAGTAGCTGTGCTGCATCATAAGCAGTTCAGTTATAATGAGATCTTTTGATTTTTCTTCCCCCTCCTCCTGCACAGTGTGTTTATTGCTTTTCTTCAAAGTCACCAGCAAAACGACAATTTGCAATTAACTGTGTAGTTGCTTCTAGGGTCAGGAGAGTGGGAAGAGTATGGATCTAATGTGGAGAGAGAGGCTGTGTCCTGGAGAGCTTATGGGCTGAGCAGAGACTGTGCAAAGAGAATGTTAGCTAATGGAGTAACTGAGTGGGATGATTTACAGACTGGCATTGCTGTATGTTTGCTCATTTCCCTAGTGTCAGACTAAGCACATAATGGAAGTTGTGGAGAGGCAGCCGAGAAAGAGGAATTTCAGGCTATTCAGCTGTCAGGTGTATGAAAAATAAAGAACTGAAATGTAGAGTTATGCAAATCAAACAGTTGTTACGGTATGTTAGAGATAAAGTTTGGGTTGCTGGCCTTTGAAATAAATCAAATTGTTCAAGTGTGGACTGTTCATAGTGTATGTTGAGGGCATGCTGTGATCCTTGACCTTTATACTAACCCCAAAGCTTTATAAAGCAGTTTTGGGTGTAGTGAGTGCTGTAGTGGTGCTTACAGTGGTCTGTGAGCAAAGAAAACAGTCAGCAGGATGATAAATTGTTCTGTAGCTGTAGCCCTTCCTTGCAGCTTGTTGCTTGCTGAAGTGTTTGCAGGTAACTCCCTGAGCTTGCATGTCCACTAAGGCAGTAAATTGTCACAGCAGCACCGTGTGCTGCTCGGGAAATTGTTTAGCACAGAGCTTTGGGTTGCTTAGCAACAACCTTCCTCTCCTTCATTTCTGTTTGTCTTTTAATAGGACCAGTATTCTGTACTCATTTAATTGCAGGTGTCTAATTTGCTTTCCAGTTGAGAGATCTGAAGTGCAAGCAAGAAGGAGAAACAATTCTTTTAGAATGTTTTGCTCTTCTCATGTGATACCTTAGCAAGGTACTTTGATGTCATGAGGTGCTTTAGGAGCTGTTGGGTTTGGAATCCAGTGGGTCAGACTCAGATGAAGTGGACACTGGTGGTGACTGATTCCACAGCATTTCTTGGGATATAACTTTTCAGAGTGTTTATCTTTGCATCTCCCTGGAGCTTGGAGAGCTTGTGGCTGGCAAAAGTGATGTGCTGAGTAACTGGCTTAGAGTAGGGGACAGTGAAATTCTGTGTGGTAGAAAATACTACTTGGATCCTGGCTGTCCACATTAGTACTTTGGCTGTTTTATAAAACCATCCAGTGACCTTCATATGTATTCTGGTGCCATTCCTAATCTCTCAGAGCCTTAAATGGCCTTGTGTTGTTGAAGAGGAGACTTTTACTGTTAATAGGTGGCCTTTCTTCTATTACTAATTCCTTTCTGTGGTCTCCAAGTGCTGGCTGTTTTGCTGCTATGCAGGTGAAGTAGCTCTTCAGTCCACACAGAATTTCTTGTTTGTTTCTGGCTTCACAGAAAACCAGCAGCATTTGGGGAAAGCTGGGCAGCCTAGATACTCCATGATGGGTCTCAGTGAAGATGTCAGGCCAAGATGGGTATCTGGCTGCAACCAACCAGCAAGTCCTGAAAAGATTTTGTGCACTGTGAAACTCTTTGTAAAGGGGTTTTGTCCCTAAGTGCTATTTCTATAGCCTTTTTTGGCAGCTTAGTGCAGACTTGTCTTGGAAACATGAACTATTACATGAGGACGTCAAGACTTTTCATTGTGCTTCTGACTTTAAAAATAAAAATTGAAGTTGGAGCATTTATATTTTTTGCATAAAGTGCCATAGACAATATCAAGTAGGTCAATTTTTGGTATCACCTCACTTCCACTGTTTTATCCTTAAGCAGGGAAAAAAGTGCATAAGAGAGCTATTCAAATACTCTGATTTCTGCCTGGGATAGAGAGTCATGCCCTAAGGTGAAAAATCAAGTTATTAAATCAAATTTTATTTGCTCTGTATTTTTCCTACAGCTTATAGTGATGGTGTTATATCAGTGTTTGTGTGGATACAGTCAGAAGATTTGATAAGAATTCATAATTTTTAAAGTTAGCAAGTTTAATTGCCAGTAGGGTTTGTAAATTGATTGTTGGAAACCCATGTGATACACTGCAGGGTAATTTTTGAAGGTTACTCATAACTGTAAGCATTTTCATCTCAGTGAGCTTTTTCTTTAAGCACCCCTGATTTTAGAGAATTATTAATTTTAAATATCTATAAGCAGCATTGTAAAGACAACACACAGTAGGGTATAACTGGGTTTCCTAACTGAATGATAACTTGCATGTTGAAATTAATGGTTGGAGAATAATATGGTGTGTACCTTTTATGCACAAAGAAGAGGCAGTGAGGATGAGATCACTCATTGTAGTAGTTATATGGACCTGTGCAATATTCAGTGAATTAACAGCTGTGTGTGACCCAGAGCCTAAGGTTTTCTAGGGAGTGAGGAGCTGAATGATCAGTGCAGTGTTTGTCCTAAGAATTTCAGTGTATTCTGTATTTAGCTTAATTTATGTCAGAAATGTGTGAATTACTTTAGCTTGGATGTGTGAACTTGCTTGCCTTTCAGAATTTAGCCATTATGTTCTAATAGGAAACCAGTCATCTTTTTTTTTTTTTTTTTTTTTTTTTTTTTTTTTTTTAACGTGTAACTGTGTGTGTGGAATGTCTCCAGTATCTAAACTGTGTTTTTAGGGGATGAGGAGAGCTACAATGTGACTGGGTGAACTGAATGATACAACACTGGAAAGTGTTTTGGTAGTTGTGAAGGAGTCATAGCTGGCTGTGGCCTGCAGCATCTAGTGTGTTCTGCTCAGAAGGATTTCACTCAAAAATTGATAGTCTCTCTTCAGCATGTCCATTTTGTGGCAGTGGTATGAACAATCTCTAGTAGTACCTTTCTTGATGGAGCTCTTATGGCACTGGAAATCCCATGGGATTCTCTCAACCTGTTCCTCTGTAAAGCAGAAATCTGACCATGTTCTTGCCTGCATTATTTACTCTTTGGAGAGTTATTAACCTTTTTTTAAATTTTTTTTTTTCTTCAAATGAGTAAATCTTACTTCATGTATACCAACCAGCTTATGCATAAAGAGCATCATCAACCTGTCAAGTTTTTTATTCCTGACTGAATTATTTTATGATGAACTTATCCTTCATTCTGTGTTGGTGACCAGCTGGCCACTCACATGAGCCGTATGTGTACGAATAGTTCTCATACTAAAATTAACTGCAGAAACTTTCATAGATGAACTCAGTCACTTGAGAAGAAGCGTGGTGACCTATGCTGGCACTTGGCTGGGGGTGTCATTGTGGTAAGCTGACGTGTGGGTTGGTGTCAGCCATCGTGTGAAGAGGAGTTCTTACGCAATGGATCTTCCACTTTCAGTCTGCTCGTGTGTGCTGCTGCCAGTGCTGTGGGACAGTGCTCCTCTGTGGGCAGCTTGCTTTTGGGGGTTTCTGAAGACTGGATGGGATCCTGTGTGAGTTTCAATGCAGGAGCATTGATGGTACTGGAATGCTTAGTGGTTCCAAGGTTACTGCAAAACAAAATAAAGATGTAAGTGTCAATAGCAAAATACTGCTGAATTAATGTCCCTTGCATTAGTACTTCTGTCGCACCTAATGGTTTAAATTAAAAATGGCTTGAAGACTAATAAAATCCTAAGGAAATACATTCACAAGAACATCTTTTATTTTCAGAAGTGATACACAACACTAACTTCCTAAAGAGTGTAGTTTTTTTTCATTCCAGGCCCTGTTCAAAATCAACTGATGCATTCCCCAGATGGCCAGGGGTACAGCCCTGCAGTTCCAGGATCGTACTCCCATCAGATGCCAGCAAAGGTTCCTCCACATCAGTCTTCTGGACAGTACAGCTATAGTGGCTCTCAGAATGTTTCTCAGTTAAACAACTACCAAGGACCTGGCCAGACTCTCAATAGACCACCAGTGGCAGCTTTCTCTGGGTCACCAGTACAACAGCCAGGTCCTGTTCCACAAGTGCTGCCGCCTGCATTACAGAACTCAGCTGCTGTATCCTGTGCTGGGAGCTTTCCTCCTGGAGCCAGCCCACCGGTGCTTTCAAACTGGCAGTACAGCCAAACTCCTGTCAGTCAGCCACTTGGGGCTCAAACAAGCCATTTGGCTCATGTGCCTGGGACAGGGTCAGCTCAGCCACCGTCATCATTGCCAGGAAGTACAAATCCTGCAGGGAGTTACCAGTATGCTGCTTCCCCGGGGGCTCCTCCGCTGCAGAACAGCTACATGAAGCCAGGTAATCAGAACCTTGTCATATTCTGCCAATGTCCATTTTACAACAACCTTTTAACATAATGAGTGTAGAACAGACTCTGCGGTGACATTTGCTTGTGGGAGATTGTTAAAGCAGATGCACCCATCAGAAGTACCTGGATGCTTTCTTTGGGTTAGAAATGAAAGTTCTGTGCCCAGGGTGGGTGTTTCAGCTGGCTGGAACAGGTAACTCCTGAATGGTGTCCCATTGTTTTGGGATGCTTGTGTGGGTGATGCTGTTTCTGTGACTTTCACCATTTCCTGGAGTAGCTGTTGGAGCATTAGTATGTTTCAGTCCAGGACTTCACCATTGCAAACCAGCTCTATTTAGTGAGCATGGTCAGTAACCACTCGATTCAGGTAATTTTCTGAATAGCCTGTCAGTTGATGCAAATAACTGGAGCACAGCCTGGAAACTGAAAAGCATTCTGTGCTGTTGAAATAGAGGTCAGTTCAGTGGAAAGCTCCCTTCCCCCAAACTTGTAATTTTCACATTTAATGATAATTGTAAGTCTTCAGAAAGTACTCTGAAAGTAGGAGACTCTGCTCCTGCTGCTTTACTGCTGGTATATGCAATGGTAAAAGCTTTTCTAATACAAAATAGCTCTATTGTGCAGCTTGTGATTATTGTGGAAACACAGTTAATACTCAAGTTTCTCTTTGCCAAACTGCTGTATGTTGTTAGTTTTTTGCTCACTAAGCATGCAAAGAGGACTTAGGTACAGAAATATTTTCCATGTAAAAGCAAATAATTTTTCTTGTTAAGCGCTTTTAGTCTCATTAGAGATTTTTATTGATGCTAGTTTTTTTGCTGTGTGCCTGCCTAATTTTCTTATGCTGTTCAAAATGTCTTAAGCTTGCAGAATTTATTAAACTGTTTCTGACACTTAATTGGAATAAACAGTTAGTAGTTTGGAATTAGTGAGGAAAATGCAGAGAAATTTTGGAAAGAGGCATATAAAATGAGAGCAAGTGTTTGGGATAAGTAATTTTTATATCCATTCAGTCCTCCTGAGCCATTTCCCTGGTATTTTTTTTTTTTATATATAACAATGATCACTTTAATTAAACTTGTTTCGTGATTATTCCAGACTTGGTTATAGAGTTGGGATATTTTCTGTACATCTTGAAATTCTTGCCAACAATAGCAACAAAAGGCTGAAAGAGATCAGTAAATGCAGGAACCCAGAATGAGAAATGAACTTGAAGTTGAGACCCTCTACCCACATGTTAGCATTTATGTATGTCATGCTGTTCATCCTCTGAATAACAAGAATATTTGGAATTCAATCTGTGCATTTTGGTAACAAAACTTCTGTGATTTTTTCAGCTGGGCTAAACTCCTTCTAAAAGTTAATCTCTTTATAGGATCTGCACCTCCACCAGTGACTCAGCCTTTAACTCCTCTCCACCCTCCAAGGCCACCTTTAGGACCTCCACCCGTTGGTGGTCCACCTAGGCCACCAGCAGCAGTAGCAGGACCACCCAGTGCACAGTCTATGCTAAAATCAGCTCCAAACCAAGAAGGTAAGAAACAATTTGCTCTTTATGTTGAATTCAAACACTGCAACCTTCTGTAATATGCAGCCTTTAATATCAAGCACGTTGTTCTATTAGAAACTCAAATTGTAAAATTGATACTAATACAGCTAATAATTTAATCTGAAAAGAGTAGGTAAGGACCTGGAAAGAAGAAAAATTATTGTAAATATATATTGTATAATTTAAGAAATTTAACAGTTGAAAATAGATTTCCAAGTGCTGTTTGACATGGCCGTGTCTGCTGTAGTTGGCATTGCTTTTTTCCTTTTGTGTGTTGTAAAGTGATAGGGATCTCATTTCTCTGCATTCCTGACTGCTGTTAGGACAGAAGTCCATGTATGACTCCCTGTATTGTTCATTCTACAGGGAGAGATAAAATGTGGACCTTGCAATTCCTTGCTATTTGTGTTGCTGTACCTTATTCTTCTCTGTGTAAAATCACTAAAATACACATCTTGCATTTGTTAGCTTTCTGAAGGAAGTTACTAGAGGCTGTGAAGTGTCAGCTGTTGAAGACAGATACCTGAGTGTCTCCTGTGGGCCCTGCACAAATATGCCATTGTTTAAGAACTCCTCAGGGCTCTGTGTCAGACAGACTCCAGTTGTTTGGCATTTAGTGCCCGTGCTAGATGGGGCCATGTGCAGCTTTATTTTTACAAACATAGTTCTGTCAAAGCTGTTGGTTCCTTGCATGTTCAGATTGACAGTTTCTTATGTGTGGTAGCTCTGTGAGCACAAGAATAGTATATTGGATTTAACTTTGTTTGGAATGTATTAAATTTATTAGAAACAGCTTTTGCTTAGAAAATATTTTCTTCATTGTGAAAAGAAACATTTCCAGAGCCCTGGAGAGATAAAAATGTTTGGTCTATGAAGTAGGTTGATTGCTGCTAGGAAGATTCAGTGTGTAATGTAAGTTCCATTTTTTGGGTCATCTTTGGAGATTTTAATAAAAAATGGTAATAAAAATAGAGTACCTACTTGTTCCTAGCAATATATAGTTGTGTTAGTATATTTAGACATGGATGGCTTACCAAAAACTGTCCTTTGGGAGCACTCTCTGAGTCTCAAGGTTTTTCCTATCTTAGATTGAATTTCTGTCTTGACTGGTATGTGACTGTGTTAGAGCTGTTGCTGTTTGGTGAGCAGTAGTGAACTAAATGTGTAAGTGTAGGGATATTGGTGTTTCTGTGAATTATCAGGGGAAAAAGTTCTTCAGGGTTAAGCTGAAGGTTACTAAGGAAACCTAAGCTACAGGTTACTAGGAAACATAAGCTACTGATTACTTGGAAAACTACAGCTAGCCTAAAGAGGCTTCCTCTGCTGAGGAGGGAGCATCCCCTGACCCTTTACTGCATGTTAGCTTGGAAGCTATGGCAAATCCCTAATTGGAAGGAGTCATAAATGATTATTCAACCAGAAGTATAGGGACTTCTATTTTCCTTAAAAAAATTTTTTTGATGTTTATAAATGTCCTTTGTTGAGGTCACATCTGCCAGGGGCGTGTGTGTGAGAAAGAGGACAAAGTGTATATTTAATTCAGTTTCATCCTGGGTCAAAACCAAAGGAGATTCAAACTATGCTTACCTTAATATTCATCTAGCAAGTAGGATATTTTTTGCAATTACCTCATTAAAACTTCTTCATAACATGTGCAAAATTTTCCTGTGGTTGCTTTTCTTTAAAGGTGATGCCAGATCTGCTGCCAGTGATGGGTCTGTAGTGCAAAACAGCTACGATGCAATTGAAGGTGGTGGCCTCATGGGTAAGGCTTTGGGAGTAAAAGTGGTTGTTGTTATTATGGAACTTTTAAGAGCCTGGGAAAGATAGAAGTTTAAACATTTGTGTACAAACATATTTACTTGGTTCAATGCCTGTCTTGAAGCTAAATGCAAAATTTGAAGCCTTGACAATTAGCATGTTTGCCTGTGATATGTAAAGTAGGTGAGAGCCCTTTATGAAGTTGACAGCAGCTGTATTTTTTAGACTTAGAAACTAAACAGGCAGCTCTCCTGTTGTACTGATGCCTCAAGTAAGACACAGTTCTTCAGCAATTAAGTATCTGTCTACTCTGCTTCCAGCAACTCCACATCATTCTCCTGCAGCCCCAAATCTTAAGATGAATAGAAGTGTTGGGTATTCTTACCCTGCCTTACCTCCAGGCTATCAACATACTTCTGCACCTGGAGCACCAGGAATGAATGCATCTGCTTTGCAATATCCAGATGGATCAAAACATTTCCACCAGGTAAAGGTTGTCTGGTTTCTATCTCAGTACTACCTCTGGTGGGGGCGTGTGGATAAAGAAAAGTGATGTAGGTAGGTGTTGCGCATCCCTGGGATGCTGCTTAGTTTGTTCCCTCTTTGGGCACCCTTTGTTCAAGAGGACAGACATAGCCCAGAATTACTGCTTTTGCCTGTGCCTTGGTACCAGTTTGGAAAAGCTGTGTGCCAGCTCTTTGTGAAGTGTTCCACCCTCAAATCTGTTCAGGATGTTTCTTTTGAAACTTTCCGCTGCTTTTGGCAGGTTTCTCTTCCGTGGCTTTGTTATTGTTAGCTGAAGTGTTTGGTTTTTCTTTCCCTGAACTTTCAAAGTGAACTGACCAACACTTTCACCAGCTGAGCCTCTGTATTTCAAAAGTTTTATAGGCAACTTTTGCTTTTTTCCTCTGTTCTGTTACATTCATAAGTCAAGTTCATGTGACAACCAACACTTCTAAATATATTGATACAATGGCAGTTAGTACATGAGCAAAACAGACTGAAAGGGATATAGATGTGGTTTTAAACAGACTATGGGTTTCATCCAAGTAGCTGGTGCTAATTTGTGAAATTTCATTTGACTCTAGCCTGCCCTGGGCACTAATCACTTAACTGCATCAATGGCTGGCCTGAGTCTACAGCAGGAAGGGTTAAGACCTGTGAATCTTCTTCAAGAAAGAAATATTCTTCCTACCACCCTTTTGAAGGCTCCTGTCCCCAACTTGCATGAAGACATCCAGAAGCTCAACTGCAATCCTGAGTAAGATTATGCATTTGCTGTAATACATCAAAATAGATAGAAATAGAAATTCCTGCTTATAAATATAATTTCACAAAGTATTTTCTTAATTTTATGAGTAGAAAATATTGAAAATGGGCTGTTACAATAAAGGCAGTAAGTGGGTTTAACTTTGAAGGGGGAAAATGATCTTTGTAGAAAGTATGGAAGGAAAAGTTTGTTAACAAGGCAGCTATAGATAGGTATAGTATAAAAGCTTTATGCCTGGCAGTGAGTGTGGATGAGAAGGTATAAAATAGCAGTTAATTCAGTCAGGTGAGGTACACCAGAATGATTGTGCCTGAAGAAACATGGGTGGCCTCTATATTGAAAAGTAACCATTTAAAACAACGGAGTAAATGAAATTTCAAACAAGAGACTCACAGTTGGTTGATCAATTATTCTCTCTGAGGAGACCAACCAAACTGTGTATAGTCAGGGACTTCTGCTTTGCAAATATTTTTATGGTAGGTAAAGGAAGTAACAGTGCCTTTTTGACGCTGTTCATGCAAACAAGCTGGACAGGATTTGCAAAACTGCCACATACATCTGAACCTTGTGGAAGCTGCTGAGTGCTCAAGACTCAGAAAATGATAGTGGGATTGTTTATAGTTACTATGTTTTTAAAACCACCTTTTAAACATTGCTGGTTCGGATTTATTCCAAAATAATATTTAGTATATAAAGATTTTGTGCAACTTTGAATATTGTTAGGCTTAACTTTGACTTGAGTGACTAAAATGACACCCCATTCTGTGTAAGGAGCATTTGTATAAAATAAGAACTCAAAGTATGTACTGTGGGTCAAGCTCAGACAGAAACAAAATGTTTTGACAGAGATAAAGATCTTTCATCTGGGAACAGCAATTCACCATTAACAGCTCTAGAAAAATATACTGTACTGCTGAAATCATAATTTATTTGAAAGCCTCTGAAAATAACCCTTTGTCATCCATGTAGGTTGTTCCGCTGTACCCTGACTAACATTCCTCAAACTCAGGCCTTATTGAATAAAGCCAAACTTCCTTTGGGGCTCCTGCTTCATCCTTTCAAAGACTTATCGGTATGAGAAATATTCAAAACTTTACATGCTGAAATATCAACTATGCCTTTACTAGAGTCCAGACAGTGGACAATGAAATATAAAACAAGGGCAGGTATCTTGGCCCAGAAGAATTACCATAGTGACTGACATTTCCTTATTCCATACAGATTGCTGTAATTTTTCTCAATTATTTCTCCCTACCATATTTAAACCTTCAGGTCTCACTTCTTAATAAAAAAGAAAGCCTCCCAAACCTCAAAAACCCAAAAGCTTAAAGGCAGCACAGAATTTGGACTGTGATAGAGGGCAACACCTAAATTCCAGGTTGTCACGTATCAGTTGTAGTAATTAATTTCAAACCTAGTACTAATTCTGAACTCAAGACTTGACAAAGTTGAAGGCATTTGGATGCCATGAAATAGCCAGAAGACTTTGAATTTAGCGATGTCTTAAACATTTCTCAGTTTAACTGGTTTTTCAAAGATGTGGGCTTTTTTTCCCCCCTGCTTTTTGATGTGTATTGGGTGCAGGACTTGTTCTTAAACCAGTGTCAAATTTAAGAATTTAGAGGATTCAAAGGGAATCCACACAGTCCAATATGTTAGAGTGCAGTTCCTACCTGTCTTACTAAGGAATTGCAGTGATGCTGTGAGGATGCAGAAGTACTCCTTCTTTCAACAAGGATGCTTTGCCTCACTAGGCAGCACGGTGTGGGTGGTGGTGTTACCACAGATGAGCAGCTGCAGGGTGAGGATGCTTTAAAACAGGAAGCTTTTCTTTTCCAGCAATTGCCAGTGGTCACTTCCAGTATTATTGTGAGATGCCGTTCCTGCCGGACGTACATCAACCCTTTTGTCAGCTTCCTAGACCAAAGGAGATGGAAATGCAATTTGTGCTATAGAGTCAATGATGGTGAGTTTTAGATGTGCTTCCAAGTGCTGCAATTAACCTTTCCCACCTTGGCCTTTGAGACTGGACTGTTGTTGGCCACATCAGTAGGGGGATTGTTGTCAGTCGTGCTGGGAGTCATGAGAAATGTTTCCCAGTGACAGTGGTGTCCCTAAAGAAACATGATGAGCCCAAGTAGTCCCCCACAATACCCTTGCACAGTGGAGCAAGAACTCCACTGCCTGGTGTAGTTCTCCATGTGTTGCCCAACAGCCACAAAAGGGTTGATATATTTGATTTAAAATTCAGCACAACCAATACTAGTGTGAAATACTAATATATAAACTTATCTGCATAGTTCCTGAAGAATTCCTGTATAATCCTGTGACAAGAGTTTATGGAGAACCTCATAAAAGACCTGAAGTCCAGAATGCTACTATTGAGTTTATGGCTCCATCTGAATACATGGTAAGCCTTATTTACTTTTACTTATTCTTTCCCTTTGTTTTATTTTCAGAGGGAAGTCAGAGAAAGCTTTGTTTCAGAGGGTGCTTTCCAGTTCAGTAGAACAGCTGTTGCCTTAAGGAGTGTATCTGAGAACTCATGGGGAGCACCTCAGAGAGTTCACTTCTAAACATTTATGATGTCAAAGTTGTTCTATATTTAGAATATTTAGGTGTCTTTGGAAGAAAACTAGAATTCTGGTATTACCAAATAAGAGGCAAATGCATTCAGAAATTTTAGCCTTCATCTGTGTGCTGTTTTAGCAGTTTAAACTTGCAATAGAATGAATAAACCCAGTGTATTTGAAAATTAAAGGTTATCTTTTCTTTGCTCAGCTGCGTCCACCTCAGCCACCCGTGTACCTCTTTGTGTTTGATGTCTCTCACAATGCCATAGAGACAGGATACTTGAATACAGTCTGCCAGACCTTGTTAGACAATCTTGACTCGTAAGTACTTTTTTCTTAAAATCTCCAGTTTTTGTTTGTCTTAAGAAACTTGTGATAGACACCAACATGCCAGTCCTTTACTGCTACACCAGTATAAAAGGTAATTTTGAGGCTTGATTTTTAGTCTGACTATTTCCTATGTGCTTCATCAATCCCCCAAGAAATGTAAACATCATGTTTATCTTTTGAATTGTATTTTTTAGAAGCTGAAATTTGTATAAGTATTTTTTGCTGAAAAGAGTCATACATCTAATAAACTTCTCATAAAATGCATACTGTTTGAGCTTATAGAAGCACTACTTGGGGTTTTGCAGTTTGTTTATTTCTTTTCTTCCACTTCTGATTACCCTCTTAAAAGGTTTTCACCTGTCTGCTAGGTGACTCTAGTATGAGCTCCTTTTTTGTTGTGGTTTTTGTTCTTTCCAAAATGACTTAGTGAAGCTCTTGGAGTCTATCTGTTAAACTCATTGCTTGGTAACAACCACGGAGAGATGCAGTGGATGTTTAAAAAAAAAAAAAGCCTGCAGAAATGAAATTTCATCTTGTTGAACACCATATGTCTCATTTTCAGACTTCCTGGGAACACTAGAACAAAAATAGGCTTCATAACATTTGACAGCACAATCCATTTCTACAGTCTTCAGGAAGGTCTGTCTCAGCCTCAGATGCTTATAGTTTCAGATATTGAAGGTATGCAAAAATAATTTTTGTGATCAGTACCTATTAATGACTTCTGGTTATGACAGCCTTTAAAAATACATATCTGGTGGGAGTTTCTGGATCACACCATTAGTCTTTCTAGTAATGACTTTAGAAATACCATATGTGTGAGTTTGTTTATGAAGACATCTCCCTGATGTCTGAGCAATGCTGTGGCTGCTCATGACTTCAGACATGAAGACAGTTTTCCTAACTTCTAGTTTAATTTGTACAATTCTCTAGATTCCTCTTGAAATCCCAAATACAGATGCTAGACACCTTTCTATAGATTTTCTTGTGGCTGGTGCTTAGTGCTTGTCCTTCTGCCTTTTGTTTCAAATCACCTTTCACACTGGAAATATTTGCTATGTGGTTTTATTTAATAATCTTGATTATCCTTCAGCCCTGTTGATTGCTGCTCTAACATGGGATTCTAGCCACAGGAATGCTAATGATAAAAAAAAGAAATCCACATAAATATATTTACATGGGTTAATACACTGATACTGTGTATTTTTTTCCAATGAGTATGATGGTTGTCAAATAAAGTCAAGGAAAGCTTGATGTGTTTTGAAAAGATAACTCAAATATTTTTTCCCTTTCAGATGTATTTATACCAATGCCAGAAAACTTATTAGTAAATTTGAATGAAAATAAAGAGGTAAGAAGCTTTCTTACATAACTAGTGACATTTACATAATTGGGGATATGTTTGGTAATTTTTTGATTAATTAATGCTCATTAACACCAGCTCTTCAAATGCCAGGTTTGAGGCGAAAAAAGAGGTGTTTTATCTATGTCACTGGAAGTTCTTGCCAGCCTGATACAAGACAGTACTTCAATTTCCCTAGGACTTTCTCTTTACTCCTTTAATATTAGAAATGCTAATACTTGGTTTTGTTCAGGTGTTGGGTCTATATAAAGTAGAAAACCTTGAAGACTCATAGGTCTAATACTTTTTTCTCACTCGTAGCTAATTCAAGATCTGCTGAAGACATTGCCACAGATGTTTACCAAGTCCCTGGAAACTCAGAGTGCTCTGGGACCTGCATTACAGGCTGCCTTTAAACTGATGTCCCCCACTGGAGGTAGAATCACTGTCTTCCAGACACAGCTCCCATCTCTGGGAATGGGAGCACTGAAGTCACGAGAGGAGCCAAACCAAAGAGCAACAGCAAAGGTTAGGAAGGCAAAAAGGCTGTGAGAGTATTAACACCTCTGTTCTGTGCTTGTAGGTGGTTCTGGGATTTCCTCTTCTGGGTTAATTTTGTGCCTGTCTTGCTCCTTTTAAAGTAGCAGAAAAAAACAAAATACAGACTAAGCAATATAAACACAAATTAATTACCTTATTTTTTAAAATAAAATATTTTTAATCCATGATGAAGAATTGATTGTGTCCCTGGAAACAGGCAATAAATGTATGAATCCATTTGAATTTCTTTTGTATTTTGTAATACTTCACTGTGTTAACAGGATATACATCTGACACCATCCACTGATTTTTACAAGAAGTTGGCCTTGGACTGCTCAGGGCAGCAGGTTGCAGTGGATTTATTTCTTCTTAGTGGGCAATATTCTGACTTGGCTTCTCTAGGTAAGTCATATAAAGCTCTTTTGGGGTATGTAACTCTTGTATTTTGAGCAAATGCATAGAATCTACACTAATACTTAGTAGATGTACCTGATTTGAATTAATCTAGTGTGTCAAGATACAAACTTGTCCTTGCTGAGCAGTGAGAGTGAATAGAATGTCATCTTTAAGTCCTGGTTTAACCTACTTATCTTCATGTCCTCCCTTAGTGAGTCAGGATCCTTGTGCTACTGATACAAGTTGCAGAAATAGTTTTTTTCTTGTTTATGCCTTTTTAACCATCAGTGTCATTGCCTTTAGAGCAAGTTTTATTAGCATTTTTATTATTTTATTCTATTTAACCAAACTTTCAAGTGACAGCAATTTCAGGTCAATGGAAAATTATTTCACACCTGAAATTTATCACATATTAGAATATGCACTTGTAGCTACATTTGTGTCTGTATGCAGGTCTGTAACTGTGTGTTTGAGTGATTTGCAGGTGTGAACAATTTAATACTTTAAAGACTGCAGCAGCAGCTGTTTGCACTCTCCAATGTATACTGATTTTGTTTCAGGTTGTATATCAAGGTATTCTGCAGGTAGTGTCTACTACTACCAGTCTTACCATCATAAACACAACCCTGTCCAGGTGGAGAAATTGCAAAAGGAACTGAAACGATATTTAACTAGAAAAATTGGGTTTGAGGCTGTCATGAGGATAAGATGCACCAAAGGTCTGAATTCACCTTCTTAGATTTTTGTGGGGTGAAGAAGAGGGAAGTGGGTGTTTGCTGCTCTTTGGGAATGTTTTCATTGATATTCTAGCTATTTTGTAACCTCAAATGATTAAAAGGCAAAGATTAAAAAAGTAAAATTCAGTACCAGGGATAAGACAATTTTCTAAGACTGTATTTGCAGTGTGTTTTCTGGCATCCAAGTTCCAGTTTATAATGGCCAAAACTGGAAATTTTCCTGAACTATTCCAACAAGGGACTAGTTTTATAATCTAGATACTTTCTACTGCCATGAATTGATTTGCCTTGCTAATTCCCACTTTCTGCTAGGCTTTGAGGATTCTTGAATGGGTTGTCAGTTTGCAGTATTTCATTGAGAGGGAACATTCCAGTAGAGTCATACATTGATGGCAGATCTGTATATGGTGCCTGTACTTCACAGCTATAAAACCCAAACTGATTCATGATTATCTTGTAGGTCTTTCCATTCATACTTTCCACGGGAACTTCTTTGTACGATCTACAGACTTGTTGTCATTACCCAACGTAAACCCAGATGCAGGCTACGCTGTGCAGATGTCAGTGGAAGAGAGTCTTACTGATATGCAAGTTGTTTCTTTTCAGTCAGCTCTCCTGTACACCTCCAGCAAAGGTAAGGTTAGATTGAGTAGCATTTGTAGTATTGCTTCATGAAACAAGTATGGAGGTTACAGTTGTCTTTCCCTGCAGGTGAAAGGCGAATTCGTGTCCACACTATGTGCTTGCCTGTTGTCACAACACTGAGTGAGGTGTACCTAGGGGCAGATGTGCAGGCCATCACAGGGCTCTTGGCCAATATGGGTGAGTGTGCTAAGAGCTTGTTTGGATATGTGTGGATTGTATGCTTAAAGGTCTGAGCTGTAATCCTGTGGCTTAGGAGAAAAGATTCTCCCTCATTCTAAGACTGCTTTCGAAGTTGCAGTCCTAAGAGAGTTTTGGTTTTAATGCCTGGCTTAGGTGAAGGATCAGTACAGCTGTGTGTAATCGCCTGGGCTTAGCTTAGTCTGGTGCATCATCATGGGCCCTCAGCTTTTTTCCGAAGCACTTCCCCTAGAATGTAATAAAAGCTTAAGCTGCATGGACATATATGATGGAGTGAGAGAAGTTAACGTGTGTGGCTGTATTGCTGCCAAGGGAGGAACCCCTCTTACTGAGCCTTGCTCTGTTTTCAGCTGTGGACCGCTCCGTTTCCGCCACGCTGAGCGATGCTCGGGATGCCTTGGTCAATGCAGTGATCGATTCCTTGGCTGCTTACCGCTCCTCCGTGCTGAGCATCCAGCAGCCCGGGCTCACTGCTCCCTTCTCACTGCGCCTCTTCCCACTGTATGTACTGGCACTCTTAAAACAGGTAAGAGGGGAAAGGAAGCCAGCCATTAGGATGATTGTTCGGCGGGTCAGCCTCAAGTAAAAGGACAGTTCTTTGATGGAGAATGATTTAGTTCAAAAGCAGGAATTTAGAATTGTGCGTAAAACCAAAAGAATAAATGTTTTAAGCAATGGAATGGCAAAACAAAAAAGACACTGACTGGTGAAGAGAATGTGTCAGGGTACTGATAGTGTTTTCTCAGGAATCTCAGGTTTGTGTGTCTCTGGAAATGCAGAGCTACACAGCAGTTCAGTGTGGATTAGAAGAGAGCTGGGTGTGGCAGAGGGAGTTGGCTGGCTGTTCTTGCAACAGGTTTAAAGCATTTCACAGTATTTGCTCAGTGTAAGTATTTTTTAATTGAATTTCAATTTCAAGAAGTCATTTAAGTGTTAGACAGACTGGTTTCTTGGTTCAAAAAGAAATTTTGGATTTATACATCTTGGTTAGGAGTTAACCAGCATGTTCATATTGAGCTTTTTCATGTGAAAGGCTTGATAAACATTTGATCCAGTCAGGTGGGAGGAGTGAGCCCTACTTTGACTTACAGCTTTTTTGTTTGGTCCCAGCAAGTCAGGACTATCTCTTTCTTGTTAATACAGACCTAAGATTCTGTACGTTGAAGCCAATTGTAAACTGCTCCAATATTTATGCTTTTAAATTTCATCAAGTAGCATTTTTGAGGTGTATGTTAGTATTTCAGGGTGCTTTCATCTCAGCTGTAAGAGAGGATTGATGGTGCCAGGTCAAGGTTAATTCTAAAATCCAGAAATGGGAATGAGACTTGTGTGATTTATATGTGAAACACTGAAGAGAACTATGAAGAAGTAAAATACAATGAGAAAAGACTTAGGGTACATCTTTAAAACTTAAGTTAGAAATAAGCAGTAGACGATGTGTCTTATCTTGCAATTTACCTTGCTTTGCTTTAATGGTTAAACTAAATGCCTGGTTATTTGCAGAAAGCATTTCAAACTGGGACAAACACACGTTTGGATGAACGCATCTTTACCATGTGTCAGGTGAAAAACCAGCCCCTTGTTTACCTCATGCTCATGACACATCCCAGTCTGTACAGAGTCGATACTCTCACAGATGAGGTGAGTCTTGGCCTTGCTGCATAATCTGTTTGATCCCAAAGATCTGTGTGATGTGAAAGTAAATGTGTTAGAAATCTCCCAAGTTTTCAATATTAAAGCTGCACAGCTAAAATGCAATGTTTCATATTCTCCCACTTGTTGCATTTGTTATTTGGAACTGGATTGATGAATTCTGTAGAGAAGCTGTGCTTTGCTGTGGATGGATGGGGAAAGTTTTTTCCTATCTTATTTCACCTTTGCCTTGTGTCATTATCTTGCGCTATAAAATCACATATACATAAAGACATCATAATGTGGTTTTTGTCCCTTTGTAGCCTCCTTTATTTCAAAATATCAAGCAGTTTTGAGAACAGGGAATGTTTATGAAAAACCCTGAACAATTTTAGAAATCACACCTTTGGTACATAGCAAATCAGATATTCCAGTTCTAGAACTAATTAACTAAGATACATTTGATGACATCCACCCTCTCTAAATAAAACATTAAGATTTATTAGTAAATTACTAATTAATAAAGTAAATTATCACTTTAAGTATGGCTTGAGCTAAACTGAGAAAAATGGTCCAGCTCCAGTGTTCAGTGTAGTAGATCCTCCTCTTATTTAGCATTCTGTTCTGGTTTTTGGCATCAAGATGTAAACCACTGTTTTTCGTTCTTCTTTTAGGGAGCTCTGAACATAAATGACAGAACTATACCTCAGCCACCCCTTCTCCAGCTGTCAGTGGAGAAGTTGAGTAGGGATGGTGCTTATCTTATGGATGCTGGCTCTGTAAGTTGTGTGGTGGGGGGGATTTTAAAAAGTATCCAAATTTACTTGGTGTGTTCTTTCTGAGAACCCAAAATATGTACGAGACTGCTGAGGTGTGGTTTGGGTTGCATTAGTGTTGTTATTGATGGCTGTCTTTCAGGTGATGTTTCTGTGGATCGGGAAGAACTGTGGGCAGGGTTTTATCAGCCAAGTCCTTGGAGTTCCAAATTACGGCTCAATACCACAGAATATGGTATGTGCTTGCTCTGCTCGTCAGTCAGACATACAGTGCTGCCAGAATATCATTTGCATGAGAATTAAAATGCACTAGTCAGCTGTTAGCCCTCTAGTGGTATAGTTCCACATCCAAGGAAAGAAATAATTGCTGTTGCCTCTTGGAGTTTGTTCTCATGAAGACTCAGTAGGAAGAGGCTGACAGTGATTGAGTTTCTCAGACCTGTGGGAGCAGACTAAGAATGCTTGCAAATAGTGAGTACAGTGGGTTAGTGGGAAATCCTTTAGTTTCTGCAATAAAACAGGAATCAATCACAGCTCAGTCATCACCATTCTGACAGCTAATTGCTGATAAGAGTTTAGTACTCTTGACTATTTCAAGCCCCTTCAAAGAAGACAAGACTGAAACTATACATCACAAAATGTATCTGTCTGGGTTTTCTTTATACCTAATGAGTTGGGCTAGTTGAAGTGTTCCTTTTACTGTTTTTCTGAAAAATTTGTATTAATGAAACCCTTTGGCTTTTAGACACATCTCCCAGAACTCGAAACAGCAGAATCCATCAGGACACGAACTTTCATTTCTTGGCTGAGAGAACAGAGACCTTTCTTTCCTATACTATATATAATAAAGTAAGTGGTTTTTAACAGTCTTTTTGCTTCTGTAGCAACCTGTTAACAAGACATACTTGGATATCATATACTGAACTTTCTTAATGGAATTCTTAACAATAGTGTGTGCTGTGCCTGACAGATTTGACTACAGATATGACTTATGAGTTGTCTCCAATTAGAATTTCAAAAGACTAAAAAAGACTAAATGTCACAGAAGAATCTTTAGGTCATGTCAGATAAATGAAGTAAATGCTGGTAAGAGCACTTATTAGGATTAATCACTACTAAAGGCTATTTGAGATCCTCTTTTCATATGTCCTTAAGCTTTTGAAATGTCTTGCCACTTGACCTGTAACTTTATTAATGCATGGTAGGTAGCTCATGGCAAAAGTTAATTCCACTCAAACACTTATATTTTTGTTTTTAAGGGATGAGAGTCCATTGAAATCAAGTTTTCTGCAAAATATGATTGAAGACAGAACAGAATCAGCCTTATCATACTATGAATTCCTCCTTCATATACAGCAGCAAGTGAATAAATGAAACACTAGCCTTTGGCTTCTTTAAGGAAAGATTTTGCAGTAAAGAATGATTGTGCTTGTAATATCTTCATTAAATCTGTGGCCTGAGGCAGTTGATGAGAAGTTCTCACTGTGATTTCAACGAACTAAAGCAAATAAAGGACCACATCTGAGAATCAAATGTGCAACTACATAATATTGTACCTTAAAAAAAAAAATCAAACTGTTGGAACTGGTTGAGCACCTTTAATTTGCTGCAAATCGTGTTTTTACTGTAAGTAGTTGCAGCATGAAGTACATTTACAAAGGCAATACTGAAAAGGTGAAATACATTTTGTAAAATAAAGAGTTCTTTGTTGTTCAAAATGTATATTTCTGTAACTTTTTTGTTTTTTGTTTTGTTGGTTTTTTTGTTTGGTTGGTTTGTTTTTTTTGGTTTTTTTTTTGTTTTTTTTTTTTTTTTTTGTTGCTGCTAGATATAAAACCTCACAATACTGATCATGATTTGCAGGGAAATTCTTTCTAAGTGTATCCAGTGATTACAGACAGAGCATCTCAATGTTCAACTTAATGCTTAAAGTAGCAATGAAAGAAGTGTTCATTGTGAAATGAACAAATGCTTGTGAAGTGTAGAATCCAGTGCTTGGATTGGATTATGGCTAATAGGACTAAAGGTAAGCTTAACCTGGATAAGGTGGCTGAATTTCTTGAAGCTTTTAATAAGTCAATATTCTAATTTTAAAAGCAGTGGGGAAGAGTGGGCCCTACATGAGACAGATTTTCAAAAGTTACTGGCTGAGTTGGCAGCAAAAGTAGACTTAGGTAGATTGTAAGCTTTGCTTTTCTTCAGTGAAAGGAACAGTTTTAATTTCTCTTTATTAGTGGTGTGGGAGGGGAAGAGCAAGGAAGGTTTTCTCAGATTTTGTTTGGTTTATGTTCAGTAGACTTTTGGCTCTTGTTTACTTTAAGTGAATGTTGGGCCCCTCAGATCTGGTGTGTTTCTGAAGCAAGTTTGTTGGCAGCACTTCAGACCAAATGTTGGTCTGCCACACTGAATATTCTGACATTAAAACTGGAAATTATTTTTCCAAGAACAAAATTATTATATTGAATTTGAAGATATGTGTTTGGTTGCAGACATGCCTGAAATTTTAGAAAAAAAAAAGGTTTTGCTGCAGCTGTGTAATGAGCCCAGGTCCAAGGCCAGTGTGCACCAAATAAAATCTTCAACTATACTGAGATCCTGCCAGAGCTACAGTTTGAAGCTGACATCGGACTTGAAGTAAAAACTTATATACAAAAAATATTTAAATAATTTTATAGAGGTGTATTGATAATTCTTCTGTTTTCAAGATTAAGCTATCATTGATAGCTACCAATGTAAAAGGTATTTAAGTTACAGTATTCCAATGCCCATGGAAGTATTGCATATGGAAAAATCTTGGTTTGCTTTTTTATTTAACAGTGGTAAACATAAAGGTCTTTCAAAACCTACTTTCTGGGGCAGGTAATTTGAAGAGGTAAAACACTTGTGAGTGGTCAAATGTACTATGCTTAGGACGTCTGGAGATACAAATGTCAGTAGGGTCAACATTTGGGAAAACATTTGCTCCCATTTCAGGCTGTAGCTGCGTGTGATTGTCAGGATTTGCCTCACCTCAGGGGAGGGGTTCCTTGGGAGAAACTGTTCTTGAGCACAAGAAGCTAAAGTTCAGAACAATGGCTAAAACAGCGTGAAAAGATTATTGCAGAACCAATTTAAGCTTCCCTGTCTGCTGCTTCTGTAGCAAACAGGAATATATTTACTTGAACTGCTTTTCAGAGAATTGCACAGTTTCTAGTCATAGTCAAGAGGTGTCTTTTAAGTTTTGACAGTCTGACTTTTTATTTTTTTCCCCAGGGAGGGGGAAAGAGGTCTCTTCATTTAAAACACAAATGGAACCTCTGCACTTGCATAGGTTCTGCCCTAAACCTTGTGTTTTGGGTATATTATCATTCAGATGTTGAATTGAAAACCATCCTTGCATCAAATAGCCCACCCAAAGTCTATTTCTTCCTATGACTGTATTTTGCTACTATATCCCTTTTTTAAAGAAACATAAATACTGGAGATGGCCTCATTGCTTTGTGTCCACCAGACTAATGGCTGAAGATGTCAGTCTTTGTGGCATTTAGCAAGTTTGAAGTTGAGTCCCTAAGTTTTACAGAGCAAAACATGATAAATGAGTGAGATGAGCCCTCTGGGAGTTCTCTTCACTTTGGAAGAAATTCTCTATTGAACTTTGTTTATTCCCTTGCAGTGGGGGAAGCCTGCTGGCTCACTGGTACTGCTGTAATGGCAATACAGGGAACATGAACACACACACACACACCTGTGATTGCTTTTATACAAACCATTAAAAAATGAGGACGCTGAAGATGGACTGCAAGAGTGGTTCTGGTACTTAGATCTCAGCACCACAACTCCACCACCGTAAATGTGTGGTAAAGGTGTGTCTCTCTGTAGTCAAATGCTTTTTAAAAAAAACTGTTTCTTATTTTGACACATTAGTGTTCAGCCAACATTGTTACCATCCATTTTACTTTGCTTTCATTATTGTTTTTAAATTAATATATTTGAGTTTAAGTCCACATAGACTATGTTGCAATAACTAGAATGATTTTATTTAGAATTAATTTCTTAACAATTTAATCAAAGATGCAGAATGGCTGTTAAGTTAAGGGACCATTAAATGTGATTTTAAGGTTCTGTTGACTATTATGGATGTAATCCTTATAGTAAATTTAATTTTGTAAAGTAGTGTATAATATTGTAATATTAAATCTTTGTTCTCTGAACTCAAAGATTTGATCTTCAGTATGAAGTTATAAATCTTCCCCCTTCTGAATTTGAGACAGGATTTACTTGTCCTCCTTTTTACAGTTTGTAATTTTCACTGTTTTATTCCTGTAAAAAGTCATTTATAACACATGCAAATGCTTATTTTATCTGTGCTAATTTATCAGATTTGGCTACTCAATAAAATTAATTGAAAGAACTCATGCCAGTCCATCACTTTTTTCTTATAAATAAAAGTAGAACAATGTATTTAATTGAGAGAAATACCACGTTGGTCACAGGAGCTAGCTGACAGTGATGGTTGGAATTTAGCCTTCAGCAGCATTCCAAGATGCTAATCAATTTTATTTTAGGTAATCCTGTATCTTCATTTAACATCCCATTATTTCAGCAGCTTTTTTTTTGTAAAAACCATTCCATCTTAACGCTTGCAAATTTTTTTGAGATGTTGTCACTGCTGCCTCTGGCCCATTATAGATGAGCTAACGCATGAGCTTGGAACTCTGACTTTTGTGTTTAACTAAAATACAGAATTCTCTCATTCAGTGCGGTAGAAATATGAATTGGATTTGCCAGCTGTTTTCTTCCCCAGGCACACAGCCCTGTGCTGCTGCACTCCAGCACTGCAGCAGGGCTGCGGAGCAGCGGGCTCTGGCATCTCCCGTTCCCGGGCATCGCTGCTGCCGATGGGACCCCTCGGCTGAGGGAAGAGTAACGTGGCACTTTCATCACCTGGCACACGAGGAGAGGTTTAGTGCCCACAAAGATGAATACTGTGCCAGCTGGATCTTACTGGAAAGAAGTCAGGTCCTCGTTCTATAATGCCAGTGGCTCTGGCGGCCTGGAGCGGTGCAGTCTGTTGGCGTTTCCTCGGTGTGCCCCGCCAGTCCCGCAGCGGTGCAGTCCAGGCTCGCAGGCTCTCCCGCGTATGCAGCGGGCCAGCCCAGCGCTGCCTCGGGGTGTCCCCGTCACCCGGGTCCCCTCAGCGCCACCATCGCCCCTTCCCGGCCTCGCACCGTGACACCACTTTTGAGGCCGGCGCGGCCATCTTTAGTGCGGGCGCCGCGCCGTTAGAGAGGGGCGCGCGGAGCTCTCTCCCAGCGCTCCCCGCCCTTCTCCTGCCCCTACAAAAAATGGCGGCGCCTTCTTCAGCGGCTGGAGGCGGGCGGTGCCGGCGCCTGCGCGCTGGGCGGGGCGGGCCCGTGGTGCCGGGCCTGCGGTGCCGGGGATGGCGGACGGCGGCGCGGGAGCGGAGCCCTCACCGCCGGGGCCCCCCGCGGGGCTCTCGGCGTCCCAGCGCCGCGCAGAGCTGCGCCGCAGGAAGCTGCTCATGAACTCGGAGGAGCGGATCAACCGCATCATGGGCTTCCACCGGCCCGCGGCGGGCAAGGGTGAGCCCCGTGGCGGGTGCGGCGGGGCTGTGTGAGGGCTCCGGGGCTGCGGTGACGCCTCGGCCTCTCCGGCCGTGACCGCTGCCCGCGGTCCCTGGTGAGCAGGAGCGGCTGGTTGCCCTCAGGGACAGGGCCGGCTGGCTGCCCGGTCCCTCAGTGCCGCCTTCGTTCGTAGGGATGCCTCAAGCGGCACGACCTGCCCTGCTCCGCCAGGGACCCGCCCATAAAATCCCTGTGCCGTCAGAAAGGTCGGGGCTCGGGCTCGACACGGTCCCTGGATAGCGAGCGTACCAGCTGTCATTTCACTGCAAGTCTTTTTTTTTAGATGAAGAAACGATGAGCCTCCCCCATGTTTTTAGTCAGTATATGCTGGCTTTCATAGCTGGCTTTTTATAGCAAAATTATCTCACATTTGGATAGTGACATAGATGTTTGTGGTTGTTATGCAGAATTTTCTTGCAGAACCATATTTAGGTAGCTCAGTTATATCTCTGTGCATTCTTCAAATGGGCTGTCTTGTCAGGAAGGAGTTCTCAGATTTCGGTTTACAAGGATGCCCATGGGCTGTGAATCAGTCTGATGTAACACTGAAAAGCACTCCTGAAGTGTTAGTTCTTGCTCTGTGGTAGGTCCAGATGCGTTCTTGATTTGCCTTTTGTTCTCTGCCATCACTTTTTCTCTAAGATGGGTCTTCAGGCTTGATACAGAGCAGGTTAACACTGCCCTGCCTCTGACAGTAGACAGCAAGCTAAAGTGCTTCTGTTTGTTTATTTGTCAGGTATTTGTGCCTCTTCTGGTTGATTAACTTTCTGCAAATCTTTGTCTTTTTTTTTTTTAATGTCAATCCATGTATTTGGATCTTTCTGCTTGTATGTGCAGTGGTGTTGCTTAAGGAAGGTCAGTTTTAATATCTCCACTGCTTCAACTTCTGACCTGCATTGCACAGCTTTGTGTCTTGTGTCTGCTCCATGAAGGGTGCCCTCTTTAATCGTAAATCTGTCTTTTCTCTTGGGAAGCAGAGACCCAGGATCCTGACCCAGCACGGCTGAAGTGTTGCTCCATGTACATGGCGTGCATAACTCTGGTTTTATTTTTCTTCCTTAGATGACGAAAGCCACACAGAATTAAAGCTTCAGCACGAGCAAGATAAATCAAACTCCCTTCCCATTCCTTCAGTTTCCAAGCGGATTGTGCTTGGTGATTCTATGTGTAACGTGATGGGCTCGGCCGACCACGCGGGCAGCACGGCAGAGCTCAGAGGGGACAAGGACTTGTTTGGTAAAGCCCCAGAGCCGGTCACCGAGGGGACGGGCGAGCTCCGGCAGCGTCACCGCGGAGAGCTGCCCTCTGAGGCTGCGGCACGGCCACCCAGGCACGGCTTGGAGCAGTACCTGTCCAGGTTTGATGAAGCTCTGAAGCTGAGGAACCAGCTGATGAGCGAGAAGCCGAGCCAGGAGAACGGGAATGCGGCGGAGGAGTTTGACTCTTTCCGCATTTTCCGGTTGGTGGGGTGCGCTCTGCTCGCCATCGCCGTCAGGGCTTTTGTGTGCAAGTACCTGGTGAGTTCAGGGTCCTGCTGGGTGTCTGCCGGCTGCAAATTACTGGGAAATATCCGGGCCTGAAGTCTCTTGGTAGTGACCAAGTTGGGAACTTCAGGCACTCTTTACATTTCCAAAAATTGTATAAAACCTAAAAAATTGCTGAATTCTGTGAGATTAGTCTGCTACAAACACAGCCACTGTGTAACCACTGAGAGCAGCACATTTGGCTGTGGTTCAGGAGCAGATGCACTGGAATAGTTGTTGCAGCTTAAATCCCCTGCAAGTTTATTCCCATCTTGGTGAGCATATGAGTCAGCTGCTCCTCTAGTTCAGGGTCTGCAAAAGAATAATAGAGTAAGAATAGAGTTCTCATCTGTGGAAGTGTCCAAGGCCAGGCTGGATGGAGCTTGGAGCAACCTGGTCTCATGGAAAGTATCCCTGCCCGTGGGTTTGGAATGAGATGGCTTTTCAGGTCACTTTCAACCCACATAATTCTGTGGTTCTAATAATAACATGTGGGTTGTACCAACATAAGAAGATCCTGCCCATTTATCACCCTGGGAAAAGTAGTTCCTCAGTATTCCCAGTGCCAGCCAGAAGAACAGCACAGAGATGTGATGCAGGTACAGCCGTCCAGCTCCTGCATCCCTGGGCTCAGTTTTACACACTGGGCTCAGTTTTACACTCTGCTGTTCTCTTCTGCCATTTCAGTTCTTTAGGCTCAAGGAATATAGGGCAGAACCTTATTTTTGGCATGTAACTTGTCTACTTAGATTTGCAGTGTTCAGTAACAACTTTGCTGTGTTCCACAAATTAATTTTTACCTACTAATTTTCTTTTATGCTTTGGAAGAATTAAATCTTTGTGTTTCTTAGCTATTCTGACCAAGTTAATTTTTATATATTCTTTTCTCTTCCTTCAGTCAATATTTGCACCATTTCTTACTCTACAACTTGCTTACATGGGACTGTCCAAGTACTTTCCAAAGGTAATTTTTTTTTCAGAATTAGATTAATTTGAAGTGTTTTCAATTTAAACTTGTGTTTAGATTGTATTATTTTAGGACCAATGTATGTGAAGTATTCTTCCCTTGTTTTGAACTGTAGAGTTGAATGATCAATGCTGATAGTTTATACTAGTTTTTAATCTTTCCAGATTCAATCCAGGATCTTTTTTAAAGTTGCAGTGAAAACATGGATTAGCAGCTTGTGTAGCTGTAGCCTAATTAAAAGTGTTTGACCAGGAAATCCAGGTAGTTCTTTCATGTCTTCAGGAAACTTGCTTTTCTTCTAGACCATGCTCTTCCCTGGTTATTATTTGCTTTGCTAAGCAGCTGTTCTGCATATAATATCTGGATGACATCTGGGAGAGTGTTTGCTAAAAAAATGAGGCAGAATGTTGAGTTTTAAGGGCTCTGCATTCCAGTGCTGGTATTGGTTTGAATGGCAGCTTGAAATGAGGCATTTATCTGTGTGTGAAACTTGCTGCTTGTTAGCAAGATTTGCTATACCACTTGCTTTATATATTTACAACAGGTAATTGTTCCTGAAGCATTTGTTAGGTTGATGATTTTGTCAGGTCTGTGGTGCAGAGTGGGATTGAATGATGTTCAATCCATAGTTAAAAGGGAAAATTTACATTTTAAAAGGAATAATAGATTACTTGTAGAAAATCAGAATAAATCAGCAGTTGTTTTGTAGTAAGTATATCATAATAGTCATTCTAAGCTGATGTGTCACAACACAAAACAGTAAGATTAGCCTTAGATTTGCACCAGCTCATCTGCTACATCATTTTGATCTTTTTTCTGGTATACTTAAAATCCACTCTTCAATTTCAGAATTCAAGAGGTGGCTCCTTGCCACAACTTGCTTTTACTGCAGCTAGACCTGGGTGGGTGAGGTCAATCCCTTTGTTAACCTTCATTTTTCTCCCATGAAACACAGAAGTATTCTTGAAAGCCTAATTCAGATTGGATTAAATTAAAATATCCACCAAGTATCATCAAATTATTAGAATTTTCAGCCACTGTCACCTTTTCCTGCCTGTCAGACTTGCATCCTTGGGATTCCTCATCTTAAGGATGGAACAGCTTTCAAAAGGTTTTGGGACATTTCTGAGTTCAGAGGATAAAACTGCCAAAGTAAGTTGTTCTAAAACAGAAACAGTTGGTTTTCAACTCTAAATAATTTTTCTGTTAGAAAACTTAACAGTATTTACGGGGTTTTGAGCAACCTGGTCTAATGGAAGGTGTCTCTACCC